GAGAGAGAGAGAGAGAGAGAGAGAGAGAGAGAGAGAGAGAGAGAAAGAGAAAGTGAATGGCGACTGATTAAGGATTTTCTGAAATTGTGTCGAAACGGGAAGATATCACATGCTAGCAGCAACCACAACACAACGTGCCAAACCGCACTATGAAGAGGAAATGTAGAACTAAAAGAAGAAGCTAGTTTGGTGTTGCAGGGACATATGTCGGCGATTCCTACACTGAGAAACTCAAACATACGTTGGTCACGTCTGTTGTGCCCTGTCCTTAGTTCTGAATAAGACATTTATATCGGGATGGTCCATACCCCCCCCCCCCCCCCCCCCCCCCCTTGAAACTAGAACTTACATATAGACAAAGATACGAGCACGTTTCAGAGAAAAATCTCCAAAGTATACTAAGGCATACATCACAATACTGGACATTCATTCGTCGATGAATTTTTATAGGTTTCACCCCTTTACACACAAAAACAGAACTCTGCCCCTCTTTAAAACATGTCAAAAGTGGGGATGTCAAATTTCAACCGTCATTATGACACATGTGTACGTCTGCAACGTCCGCGACGTCACGTTCTTATAGTCTTGACATCCTTAACAATGATACTGTCGAGTTACAAAACCCTGGCATGGTTACTGCATGACCGGCTCCAGCTGACAGGCCTTGCTGCTGACTTCACCGATAACGATGCGTTAACGCAGCGGTTCTCAAACAAGAAAAAAAACTTATTTTCGACAGTGGCGAGGGAAGGCAATTTAAATTTTAACTTTTAATTATCGACATGCCTTCTTTAATAATTTCACAATTTTTAGCCGACTTTTCCTGATTATTGCCGCAGCACCCCTGGCATAGGCTCACGGCACCCCGGGGTGCCTCGGCACCCAGTTTTAGAACCGCAGCGTTATTGCATCGTTAGCCCGACCCGGTGACGTAAGTAGCACGACCCGCCAGCTGGAGCCGGTCGTGGTTACTGTAACTTCTATCACACTTGTAAAGTTTTTTATTTGAAATCCCTTTGTAAATTGTACACCAGAGTGTTAGACATTTAAAACTAGCGGAATACTTTCTCAGAGGAAAAACAAGAACAGACCCATTGCTTCCCCACCAAGCATGTCATAAGAGTCGACTAATTGGGGATTTTCTTTGACGTCGGAGTGCATTTGATTGAGAGGCAAGGAACCAACAATCTGCCTACAATAGATATGTTAAACAGATGTGCACACACCTCTCAGGTTCTGGAACAAGACTAAAGTCCAGAGGTGGACAAATAACCAGAACTTTCTGCCGGAGTTTATAGCCGGTGAACGCGAAAAAAGAAAAACGATAAAGATCCACTGCCCCCCCCCCCCCCCCCAACAAGCATGTGCTAAAAGGCGACTAATTAAAGTCTTGCTGAGATCGGATGTGTCGGGCCGAAAGACACATGCATCGCAGTCTAGCTGTTAACCACAATACAGCCTCTCGACTGTCCTTGTAAAGACGAATGCAAAATAATAGCCATGAACACTACAGGAGACAACTCTAACATGACAGCAGCATAAAAAGATGAACCAGAAACATAATTGACAACACTCATCATGATCAATATGAACGAACCAATCGATCAATCAGGTGCCGTCTCCACAATGAAGGTCGGCTGCAATGGATCTCCAGCAAGCCCTGTCCCTTGATGTGCACTCGCTCATACTGCTGTTCGCCCATCTCTTGGTGGTATCCTACCACTTGTAACACTGTCTGCCTCTTGTGGGCCTACCTTGAACCTTTCCCTCTAGGATGATCTTTACAATACTGTTATGTCTTTTAATATGACCAAAATATTTCACTTGTCTCTTTTTTTATTTCACCTAGCAACTCTCTTTTCATTCCCAATTTCCTCAGTGTTTAATAGCTTTTGTTTCCATGAAATACGACCTAATCTTCTGTATATCCACATCTCCAAAGAATTTATACGATTTTCCAGTTGTTTATTGTCCATGTCTCTGTGCCATACAGTAAGGTTAAGAGTACATAACATTTGACAATTCTCATTTTTAATGTATTGCTTATTTCTCTTGATGTTAGTAACTTTTTGCATGTTGTTGAAAATGTTTTTGGCCATCCCTATTCTTTTCTTGACTTCTGTTTCACTTCTGCCGTCACATGTTATTACTTGCCCAAGATATAAGAAATTTTTAACTTGTTCCAGTTTCACCCCGTTCACTGTGATATTCATTGTAAGCTGATTATTTTCTTTGCTAAATATCATGGTTTTTGTCTTTTTTCAAATTAATATCTAATCAAAATTCTGCACTCCTTCTGTTTACTTGCTCCACTAGATCTTGCAACTCCTGCTCACTCTCTGCTAGCAACACTGTGTCGTCAGCATATCGCAGATTGTTTATTATTCTACCATTGATGTTCAGTCCTGAACGAACCACAAGATCATAAAATAAATAACGATTGATATTTGCAGATTTTCAGTAAAGGAACAATCATGTACATTAATTAATAATGCAAAAAAACGCATATAATAAGTAAGTAACAATTAGACAATTCGTCAATTAATTAACAACGTTACATTTATATATGTGTGTGTGTATATGTATATACATCAATGTGAAAAGTACAAAGTATACAACGCAATAATTCATACACGAACTAACATTATTACATTTACTTGAACTGACTGACAATATGACAAGTAGAAATCATTGTCTGACATAAGCCTTCTTCTAAGTGTTCACCAACTGTAAACTCCAGTGGTAAGTTCTGGCTGCTCGTCCACTTCTAGACTTGAGCCTTGTTCCAGAACTTTAGTTTCGCACACATATTCGTATTATAGATCTGGCTTACGCGTATGCAGACTGATGGCTCCTCGCCTCTCAGGCAGATGCGCTTCGACTTTGGAGGAGAATCAATAATTAGTCGCCGGTACTACTCGGAAAAGTCACCCCCATCTCGTCGGCCGTGAGATTTCGTAGCGGTTCCCACGGGTTGTCCTATGTTCTGAAGGTGTTTTGAGATGCCTTTCTTCGCCATCTATACGCAGCGTGCCGAAAAGTGGCTAGGGTTCATGTGACGTCGTCGACACACTGTTCCCCAGACGAAAGTGCGTCGCTTTTTTTTTTTTGCAACTCTCTTTTCTGTGAACGACTCTTGTTTCTGGAATGTGTTGTTGTTGTTTATACGCGCCTGTGTGCAAGAAAGAAGTACTGCAGGAGAAAGCGCCAAAGGCGCGACGCTTTGTGAATATACAATTATTGAGGTTTTTGTATTTTTAGGCTCATTGGCAGTGGCTGTCGTCGGTGGTGGATATCCTTCGAGCGTTTAAAACGAAGAACACATGACAGCTCTAGACTATATGAGTGTCCCTACAAAATCTTGCGGTCAACGAGATAGAGTGACTTTCGTAAGTTGTACCTAGTGGCCTTTTTTAGGACATTCCTGCTAGGGAAAACGTGAGTCTATTCTTCCTTTCCAAATGGGGCCCCTGAAACCCACAAAGAGAAATCTGCCATAAGTATTTAGGCAGTCAGTAAAGTCAAGGACCCATCTGAGGCCACTGACAAATCAGAACTACGAAGCTAGACCCTTTTTTAAATCAAACAGTCGGCACTCGATAGACGGGCAGCGGCAGCGGTGTAGCGGCTGGCTTGTGAATCCGAAAGTCCTGGGGAGTAAAGACGGCCGGCGTGATGTTGATCACATCACCCCCTGAGTGCGGATTGGTCTATAAAAGATAGATCTAGCCCAGTGTGCCAAATACGCCTGAAGACGTTAAAAAATGCTTTTAAAAGGTCTTTTTTTAAAATACTGTTTACACAATAGGCAATAAGGACAACATCACTCTGGCCCCAGTTACTTCCCCTGAATAGATCCTAATACCGCGTCAGGCTGGTTTCACCCGGAGGCCCTGGTCAATTTTAAAATAATTATTCGCCCAGATACAGTTTTTGACCGAAAACCTAAAGACCAGCAAGCTCCCTAGCCGTGTGCCCCTGCAGTGCCCATCCTTACATTACTGTTAACTATAAACGCTCCTAGGTGACACTGTTTAATAACACATTCAGTATATTTAAAATTATGTCCAACGTGGGGCGACCATTTTTTAACTGTCAACCTCACAGTGTTCAGCTGCACGGTGAAGTCACGTGCTTCACACTCTCGACATTCTTAACAACATTATTGACATATGACAAGACAACAGAATGGTTATTTGAATTCCTATCACAATTTTAAGTTTTTCATTTCATGTCTTTTCGTACATAGCAACTAGTGTGTGTGTGTTTTTTTTTTTAATTGATCACAAATGTTCAAAGATTACAGATGAATATATGTCCTCGGTAACGTTCATCGGTTGTAAACCCAAGCATCTCATTTCATTGTATTCCTAAATAATGCTGTAGTATACATTGTTAACTTTTCCTAGACAATATTCTCCGCGTGTGGGATCCAGAGCCTCGTTTTGAAGCGAAAATAGTAGATCTTTCACTACACTAAGTCATTACCAATCATGCTATAAAGGGCGACTAATTAGTTGTTGTTTTTTTCTTCTTGGAATGGATGTATTTGTTTGCGAGGCGAGGAATCAATAGTCTGCAAACAAATAAGCTAGATCAGCAAAACGGATGTATATGCCAAAATGCAGGAACAGTAAAAGTAGAGGTCTCTTTTCCACGCCTTTAGGCGTATAGGGCATATAGGGCTAGACCTTTATGTTTATAGACCAATCGGCACAAGATGGGTGATGTGATCAGCATCATGCCGGCCGCCTTTACTTCTCGGGACTGCACCCGATACCCACTCGAGGCTGGGTCGACCTGGGAGTCAAGGTCCTTCTGAAAAATAAGGCCGGCTACAAAATTCCGTTCTAGAATAAAGCTAATGTCAAGAAGTGGATAAACAACCATAACCTTTCGCCGGAAATCACAGCCGATGAAAGCCAAGAAGAAGAAACTTTAGTATTCTAAATACATCTTTGGTTATTTCATTACATCTCTTCCAGAGAATCCTGACATACCTACAACATGAACGGCCCTTTCTTTTTACTTTTGCCACTGCTCTTGCTTCTGAAGAATACGACTACGGGGTTGTTCATACCTAGAGTCTCCAGCTCTGAATCGGTCATTTTGCCGAAACGTTTGCCGTCGACCGACTTTCTGTACAAATGGGAGATGATTCTCTCGTCGATTTTGAGGCACTTGAGAAAGTTAGCCAGCTGAACGCTTGTGAACAAAGAGAGGTTGCCATCGTTGGGTATGGTGATTTCTTCCACAGGTACTGTGTCTATAGGAGCTGGGGAAAACAATACATAAAGAAGTTCATAGAGAAGAATAGGGTGTGGTTATTTCGATACCATATAATGTGTTAGTGTTAGTTAGGTAAGTGTGGGTTCGGGGGACCCTATTATAGAGAAAACAAGAATAGAGCCACTGCCTATCCTTAAGCATGTCTTAAGAGTCGACTAATTGGCAGCTTCTTTCGAAGTCAGTGCATCTGCCTGGGAGGCAAGGAACCAGAAGTCTGCATACAAATAAGCCAGATCTGTCAAACAGATGCACACGCAACACTCAGGTTCTGAAACAGGACTGCAGCCCAGAAGTGGACGAACAACCAGAACTTTCTGCCAGAGTTTACAGCTGGTGAACGCCAAGAAGAATAAGAAGATAAGAGTCAACAAATTGGGACATCCTTCAAAATCGCAGTAATTCTGCCTGAGATTTTATGAACCAACAGTCTGCATAAAATAAATCAAATATGTAAAATAGACTTGCACACAATGCTCAGGTTCTATAATAAGACTAAAGTCCGGAGGTGGACGAACAACCAGAACTTTCCAAAGGAGTTTGTCTTGAGACATGGCGTCCGCCTCCAGTGCTGGAGGTCCCGGGTTCAGGCCCCATTTAAGGCTGGAATTTTTCACGTGGACTTCTAGTAATTTTCCCTGGTCTCTGGGTAGTAAAATCAGACTCCCGTGTGTATTGTTGTGCACGTTAAAGATACATTGGGAGTTGGAAATCGAAAATAGTAGCCTAACTGCGCTGTCCAGGCAAAATTTTGATTATTTCAACATCCTCGCTGGTGCTAGGCTGCGCTGAAATGTTTCGGACTCAGGCTTGAGTTGAAGTAGAATGGACCACTTATTAGTTACTACCCTTGTGCTATGAAATTGATCTGTTGCTTAAACCTAACCGAAGTCGGTGAATGAGACCACAGCGCTGTGAGCTCGATAAGCAACTCATCAATGGTCTTTAAAAACGAGAAAAAAACTAAAGCAACGAGGAAGAAAATGTCACGTGATATCCTCTCCAGTGTAAACGTTACATTTACATGCTAACGCTTACACATGCGAACTAATTAAAAGATGGGTATAGTCCATATTATAAGATGCTTAGAGATTAAATATATTACTGATTTCTAAAACACTCTCACTATAAAATTTCAAGATGAATCTTAGTTGCTAAATGTAAAAACATACGTGCTGTAAAAGGACTCTTGGCGGCTTTTGCTTTTGCAGTGCCGTAACCCGAACCTAGTTTGAACGGCGGCCTTGTTGGGGCACCTAAGACAGACCTGGGGATACAGGAATGTCACCATGAGCTTATCTATCACACGTATGGTCAGAGAAGGAGAAATTGCAAACAATAATAAATCATTAACAAGCATACACCACAAGTGTCCATTCAATGGTTGCATAATACAAAATAAAAATAACATATTTAAAAAAGTTTAAATGAATAGAATTGTATTCGTGTTTTAACTAGTTTTTTTTTCCTGTTGCTCTTTTCTATTTCTCCTCCTCATCCTTCTTCTTCTTCTTCTTCTTCTTCTTCTTCTTCTTCTTCTTCTTCTTCTTCTTCTTCTTCTTCTTCTTCTTCTTCTTCTTCTTCTTCTTCTTCTTCTTCTTCTTCTTCTGCTTCTCTTTGTTTTAAGATTGTTGGTTATTCATTTTTATTGGTTGACTGCTGTTTGTTCGTTTTTGTTGTCGTTCGTTTTAGTGTGTTTGTTTATTGTTTTTAGCAAAAAAAAAAAGGGGGGGGGGCAGAGAGGAGAAGAAGAAGAAGAAGAAGAAGAAGAAGAAGAAGAAGAAGAAGAAGAAGAAGAAGAAGAAGAAGAAGAAGAAGAAGAAAAAGAAGAAAAAAGAAGAAGAAGAAGAAGAAGAAGAAGAAGAAGAAGAAGAAGAAGAAGAAGAAGAAGAAGAAGAAGAAGAAGAAGAAGAAGAAGAAGAAGAAGAAGAAGAAGAAGAAGAAGAAGAAGAAGAAGAAGAAGAAGAAAAAGAAGAAGAAGAAGAAAAGAAGAAGAAGAAAAGAAGAAGAAGAAGAAGAAGAAGAAGAAGAAGAAGAAGAAGAAGAAAGAAGAAAAAGAAGAAGAAGATGAAGAAGAAGAAGAAGAAGAAGAAGAAGAAGAAAGGACACCCTAAGAGTAGCTTTAAGACTACATTCTGTCACACCGACAGGAATGTGACGTTATTATAAACCTTATCTACGCATTTGAAACCTACATAGTAAACTATTCCTGAAGTACTTAAGTTGACTTTGCATTCTGCACCAGTAGATATGAATTTAACTATAAGATAACTATAACAATAAAATGCCGAAGAATAATCTGAACAAATGTGGCATGACCTGTTGTTTGAATAAAGAAAGTGGGTTATCAGTTTCCATTCATCCGATCGATTTATTTTCAGAAACGCCCAGGCAAAACCAAAAATGTTTATCGTATTTTCACCATCTTGGCAGATATGATACCGGCTTTCTAATTTTTTGTTTTGGGCAATCCCACATGCAGGAAGGGATGGTGAGATGTAAAATTCTAAGAAATCCGGTTATGCTCGTTCCCGAATTTTGTTATCTTCGCTTCTTGTTCACTTCCTCTTTTACCGTGTCAGATGTCAAGAAGATACAGTGTTCTGATTTCCCGTGTGGGTTCTGGGACCCAACTATGGAGAAAACAAGAATAGATCCACTGTCTCTCCAACAAGCATGTCGTAAGAATCGACTAATTATGTGCTTCATTCGAAGTCGGAGTGCATCTGCCTGAGAGGCAAGGAATCAACTATCTACATACAGGTATGTCAGATCTGTAAAACTGACGTGCACGCAACACTCAGGTTCTGGAACAAGACTAATGTCCAGAGGTAGACGAAACATCAGAACCTTCCGCCAGAGTTTACAGCCAGTGAACGTTTTTGTTGCAGTTTCTCTGACGTTATCTGTCCACCGTGTTCTTGGTCTACCCAGCGCTCTACATCACTCTACATTTCTATATATCCAGTCACCCCACGTGGGTTCCGGCGCCCAGTTATAAGGTAAACCCATAAGCATGTCGTAAGAGTCGACTAATTGGGAGCTTTCTTAGAAGTCGAGTGCATTTCCCCCTTTGTATGGAAAAGAAGAAAAGACCCCCTGTCTCTCTAACATGTATGTCGTAAGAGTCGACTAATGAGGGTCATGCTTCGAAGTCAAAGTGCATCTGCCTGAGATGCAAGGAACCAACAGTCTGCATACAAATAAGCTTGATCTGGTAATCAGATGTTCACGCAACACTCTGGTTCTGGAACAAGACTAAAGTACAGAGGTGGATGAACAACCAGAACTTGTCGTTGGAGTTTACAGTCGGCGAAAGCGAAGAGGGAGAAGGGGAATTAAAAACTAGTCGCAGTAGTATAGCCATTAGACGCTTGCCTGTTTAACTAACTGCCAATTACTGTCTATATTCTACCACTTTGGCGGCGTAGGCTGGGGGTCTTTGAGTCTGAGGATTTACCAACGCATGGCTAGTGCTGTCGCCAAAACTGTGCAGGTGGGGATTTTATTTTGCCACCGACAGAAAAAAAAAAAATCCCCAGCCTTACCGAGTATTCGAACCCAGGTCTCCCGGCTTAGAGCCCAACCTTCCAACCGCTCGGCTAGTCGCTCCTCTCGCCTGTTAAACGCATCATTAACCCTTTTCGCTAACCTCTAAGCCTCACAGGCGTACCCACTGCGCCGAAAATATATAGTAAATGTATGCGCTAAACAGTCTAACCCAACTGCCAGTTTTACCAGGGCATCCGCAGTGCCAGAATCATGTCTTTTTGTTTACACAGTTCGGGAGGTAAAGACAGCAGACTATGGTATGTTGTCTGTCAACCACTTACTTATTGCTGTTTTCGTACACTGACTGTGTGGGTTCTGTTATACTCTCGCTTGCAAGATCTTTTCCCTCACTTAGAATCAGCATTCTCTGGCTGGAGTCATCTACTGTGCTGTCGTTGCAGGAGCTAAAGTGTAGAGACATGTGTATTTGAAAACACAACAAATCAAAGACGAGAATCAATCTGGTACATAAGCTTCATTTAACTTTTCATTTAATATAGTAGTTATAGTGGGACACCATAAAACGGTAGCAAAGCCAAACCTGCAGTCTTGTGGTTTGTGTGTGCCTGAGTATGCTTGTGTGTGTGAATGTGTGTGTGCGTGGTGTTTGTATGTGTGTATGTTGTAATGTAATATATCCTTCCTGAGTTGATACCGAGGCCTCATTATGGGGAAAGGGGAGGGTGGGGAGGGTGGGGTGGGGACGAGTAAGCCCACTGCTCCCAAACAAGCATGTCGTAAAAGGTGACTAAGTAGTGCAGTTTTTTTTAAAGGAAAGACATAGTGCATCTACCCCAGAGGCGAACTAACAGTCTGCATACAAATAAGCCAGATTTATAGCACAGCTGTGCACGCAAAATCAAAGTTCTGGATCAAGACTAAAGCCAAGAACTGGATAAACAACTAAAACTTCATCTTCTTCTTTGTTCAGCTGCTTGGAGCACTGGTATTGTTTTACTAGCTTGTTTATCTGCAGTTGGTTGTTTCTTGATACTCGGGCAGAATCACTCCGACTTGGAAGGAAGTCCCAATTAGTCGACTTATACGACATGCTTGGTGGAGAGGCAGTGGTTCTGTCTCTTCCCCCCCCCCCCCCCCCCCTTCCCCCCGGAACCCACACGGAGACAACGAAAACTTTCCGCTGGAGTTTACAGCCGGTGAACGACGCGAAGAAGAAGTACCGAGATACGCTGTCAGGTCGACCCAGGCTAAAGTAAATACTAGGATATTTCTTGGGAAATAAAGGTAGTTGGCTTTTTTCACACTTAAAAAACAAATAGAGGAGGAACCCCTGAGGCCGTAGAAATGTTATATACGATAGGCATCGTCAATGAAGAGTTTGGAAGTGCAAAGTTGGTCGCGTTCTTTGTACTTTTGTTTCCATATGGAGGCACACATGCCATTTTGAGAAGACAGGTTCGATTTCCGGCACGGTAATTGAAGAATAGCTATCGATTTTTATATTGTCTATTGTGTCTTTCTATCTTTTTACTTCTTTCTATGAGTGCAGATCTATACATTGTCAGTTTTTTTAAATGTATTTATATTTATATATTAGAGCTGTACAAATATTCGCTTTGGGGCCGAATAGTGGACCTAATAACTATTCGGTATTCGGCCGAATACTTGCGGTCGGACCGAATTCGAATAGTGGTTACCATACACCCGCTTCTGCAGCCACTGCGAATTACTTGTTATAATACTTAGAATACTTTTATTCATTCCAGTTATTAGCTACCACAGACTGACTGAAGGATGAAAAAAAAAAAAAAATGTTTTTAAATGTTTACTATTCTGTACTACACTTTGTGAAGTAAAGTTCAGCGTACATTTGACATTATGAATGTTTTTTTTTTTTCAAATCTATTTTATACACTATTCGTATTCGTTTTCGGCCGAATAGTTGGTCTCGTTTTTCGTATTTGGCCGAACATGATAATCACCTGTTCGGTAGCTCTAATATATATATTCCCCGTGTGGGTTTCAGGATCTAATTGTGGAGAAAACAAGAATAGACCCACTGCTTGCACAAAAGCATGTCGTAAAAGTGGAGTCGCTTAATTGGGAGCTTCTTTCGAAGTCAGAGTACATCTGCCTGAGAGGCAAGGAACCAACAGTCTGCATGCAAATGAGTTAGACCTGTTAAACGCAAAAACACGCAACTCTCAGGTTCTGGAACAGGACACAGACCAGAAGAGGACGAACAACCAGAACTTTTCGCCGGAGCTTACAGCCGGTGAACGCAAAGAAGAAGATATAGCTGTTGTGATATTGACCGCTTCATGTTTCTATCGAGGATAAATTTATATATATGGATTTATATAAATGTATGGGTTTAACATTGTAAACAAAGTAGCGAACACTTTATTTTAGTCCAGTAGTTGTAGCCGTTAGGCTACTCTTTTCGATTCCCAACTGCCAAATGATTTTTTACCTGCGCAACAAGGCACAAGTGCGTCCAATCTCACTATACAGAAACCAGGGCAAATTATTGCATTCGACAGTCTCCTAGCATTCTCAAACAGTGATAACACCCACTGGGCATTCTCATTACCTTCTTTAACACTGATTCTACTCACCTGGCATTCTGCTTACATCCTCCTTACATTCCCTACCTCTGGTAATACAGACGCCCCATTCTGCTAAGTCACTTTTTCATCATTCATTCGCAGTGGCGTTGTCATTACCCACATCATTTAATAAATGCAAAGCCATTCGTAATGCCCCGATGATATTCTTCCCATATTCTTTGACATTTGTTATCCACGACTGACTTTCTTTCCACATTCTCTGACATTTGTAATCCACAACTGACATTCTTACCACATTCTTTGACATTTTTAATCCACGACTGACTTTCTTCCCACGTTCTCTGACATTTGTTATCCTCGACTGGCATTCTCCCCACATTCTTTGACAATTGTTATCCACGATTAGCATTCTCCCCACATTCCTTGACATTTGTTATCCACGATTAGCATTCTCCCCACATTCTCTGACATTTGTTATCCACGACTGGCATTCTCCCCACATTCTCTGACATTTGTTATCCACGATTAGCATTCTCCCCACATTCTTTGACATTTTTTATCCACGATTAGCATTCTCTCCACATTCTTTGACATTTGTTATCCACGACTGGCATTCTCCCCACATTCTCTGACATTTGTTACCCACGACCGGCATTCTCTCCACATTCTCTGACATTTGTTATCCACGACTGGCATTCTCCCCACATTCTCTGACATTTGTTATCCACGACTGGCATTCTCCCCACATCCTCTGACATTTACAATCCCTACTTGACATACGCCTTGCAATGTTTATCATTCATAATTCACAGTAGACAGGCTCCCTAAATTCGCTAGCACTGATACATAATCTACAGTTGAAAGTCTTCTTAATTTCTCTGGCAGTGATAATCCTCACTCGACATTCCCATTACATCCTCTAGCAGTGATAATACTTACTCGACGTTCTCCCTACATTTTCTAACATTCATCATACTTACTTAACATTCTCCCTACATTCTCTAGCATTTATTATCCCCACTCGACATTCTCCGCACACTATCTAGCAATCAGAAAACCCACTCGACATTCTCCGCACACTATCTAGCAATCAGAAAACCCACTCGACATTCTGCGCACACTATCTAGCAATCAAAATAGCTAGTTGACATTCACCTCATACTGTCTAGCATTCATAATACCCACTCGACATTCTCTTCACGCCATCTAGCATTCATAATACCCACTCGACATTATCTTCACACTATCTAGCACTCATAATACCCACTTGACGTTTTTCTCACACTTTCTGGCATTGATAATACCCACTCAACGTTCTCTTCACAATATCTAGCATTCATAATACCCACTCAACGTTCTCTTCACAATATCTAGCATTCATAATACCCACTTAACGTTCTCTTCACACTATATAGCATTCATAATACCCACTCAACGTTCTCTTCACAATATCTAGCATTCATAATACCCACTTAACGTTCTCTTCACACTATCTAGCATTCATAACACCCACTCAAAGTTCTCTTCACACTATCTAGCACTCATAATACCCACTTGACGTTCTCTTCCCACTATCTAGCATTCATAATACCCACTCAAAGTTCTCTTCACACTATATAGCATTCATAATACCCACTTGACGTTCTCTTCACACTATCTAGCATTCATAATACCCACTCAAAGTTCTCTTCACACTATATAGCATTCATAATACCCACTTGACGTTCTCTTCACACTATCTAGCATTCATAATACCCACTCAAAGTTCTCTTCACACTATATAGCATTCATAATACCCACTCAAAGTTCTCTTCACACTATCTAGCATTCATAATACCCACTCAAAGTTCTCTTCACACTATATAGCATTCATAATACCAACTTGACGTTCTCTTCACACTATCTAGCATTCATAATACCCACTCAAAGTTCTCTTCACACTATATAGCATTCATAATACCCACTTGACGTTCTCTTCACACTATCTAGCATTCATAATACCCACTCAAAGTTCTCTTCACACTATATAGCATTCATAATACCCAATTGACGTTCTCTTCACACTATCTAGCATTCATAATACCCACTCAACGTTCTCTTCACACTATATAGCATTCATAATACCCACTTGACGTTCTCTTCACATATATAGCATTTATAATAACCACTCAAAGCTCTCTTCACACTATCTAGCATTCATAATACCCACTTAACGTTCTCTTCACACTATCTAGCATTCATAATACCCACTCAACGTTCTCTTCACACTATCTAGCATTCATAATACCCACTCAAAGTTCTCTTCACACTATCTAGCACTCATAATACCCATTCAAAGTTTTCTTCACGCTATCTAGCACTCATAATACCCACTCAACGTTCTCTTCACACTATCTAGCATTCATAATACCCACTTGACGTTCTCTTCACACTATCTAGCATTCATAATACCCAGTCAAAGTTCTCTTCACACTATATAGCATTCATAATACCTACTCAAAGTTCTCTTCACACTATATAGCATTCATAATACCCGATTGACGTTCTCTTCACACTATCTAGCATTCATAATACCCACTCAACGTTCTCTTCACACTATATAGCATTCATAGTACCCACTTGACGTTCTCTTCACATCTATAGCATTTATAATAACCACTCAAAGTTCTCTTCACACCATCTAGCATTCATAATACCCACTTAACGTTCTCTTCACACTATCTAGCATTCATAATACCCACTCAACGTTCTCTTCACACTATCTAGCATTCATAATACCCACTCAACGTTCTCTTCACACTATATAGCATTTATAATAACCACTCAAAGTTCTCTTCACACTATCTAGCATTCATAATACCCACTTAACGTTCTCTTCACACTATCTAGC